GTCCAGACGCTTTTCTTTGCAAGCTCCTTTGACTACGATGACCTGGATGACTGAGAACCTTCACAGACACATACCTGTCATTGCTTTAGTCAAAAGCCAATACAAGTTGCTAACTTGTCTGCAAATGCTTGCCAACCTCTACTTTGAAAACCACTCTGTTTCTGTTTTATTTATTTTTTTGCTGTTTGGTGAATAGTTGGTGAGTAATTCCCGACAAGTCATCGTCTTCCAATGCATAAAAAATGCCACTGCAGCAATCCTCTGAGAGTCGAGTCGAAAGCACCTTTCAGCAACCATTAGCCAAACAGCTGGGGAATACATATTTTTGCCAGAGGGTTATTGGCCGGTCTCTTTACTTTGTTCTTTTGCAATAACTTGATGAGTTATTGAAGTTTTTCCCATAGAATAAATATAATCATTTGATATCCCCACCTGGCTTTGGATTTGTTTTTTTGATTTGAATTTTGAAGTCTCACCAGTTGTTAGCACGTCGGCTGCTAAGTTAGTTGGAGCCAGAAGTGGACATGTCTATTGGTACTGTAAGGTTGAAAAATGTAATGCCATCTTCAAATGGCCGTTGGTAGATGGGCAATGAACTGCATTTCTCTAACAAACGTGGAACTGGAACTGCTGCATCTGTAAAATATGTTTTCTACTGTAAACTCAAAATTTGTTTCTGGTTCTCCCTATGGGTCAAAATTTTTTTGTATATTTAGATTTAATAACAAGCTTAGCTAATTCTCTTACTTAAAGCTAACATTAATTTTCTCCTTTCTTTTGCTTACCAGCATCTTTAGATCTCGTAACCTGACCTTGGTGTCATCCGATGTTGCAAATGCGATGACCCATCTTCATCCTCGTAACTATACCCTTCACAATGGTCAGTTAATCGGCCCACTGATCTTACAGTCTGCCTCCAAACCCACCATCTCCCCTGTCCTCGACTGCCCCATCAGCAGCAGGGATGCATGTGATGGGCAGCGTCTCGCAGGCCAATGGGAGCCAAGATTTCTCTGTCCAACAAGAGGATGTAGCTGTTACCGTGACAATGTCTCTCCCTTCTCCTCCTCGTCCTCCATCGAGGTATGCTGACATAGAAGATAACCAGATGAAATCACCTGACATTCCTCCACCACCTCCCCCACCTCCTCCTCCCCTACTGCCTCTGCCACCAGAGCTTGGACACCCCACTGGTGGGCTGAAGAAGAAAAGGAGGGTGAGGAGTTTTTTCTGGAAAACGATTCCAGAGGAGCAGGTAGAGTTCCTGCTTTACATTTGTCTTAGCACATTGTTTTAACATATATATTTTTAATATATATTACATTGTTTTGCTTAATGGCAAACGTAAATGATGACTCAAACATGACTAAGCACCTCTCTGAATTGCTTGAGTCCAAAGAGAAATCGAGCACTTTCATAAAACGGCTATTACATTACTAAAATCTGTCTCTCAGGTAAAGGGACGGCTCAACCTATGGACTCAAGGCCAAGTGAAGCAGAAATACGAGATTGACGCTCAGACTGTCGAAGAGCTGTTCGGCCAGCATGACGGTCAATCAAAAACCCTGGCAACGCCCGCCAGGGGAGGGAAAACCAGCAGCTCATTTAGAGAGACCAAACAGGAGGTGTGTTTTTGATGCAGGGCTGCGTGTGCTGCTGTTTGTTGAAGGCATGGGAGATGGAGTGAAATGTGTGTGACAGTTTCCACCAGGGCTTTGACCTCAGATTGACTCTCTCTCTCTCACACACTCAGGTTTCCATCCTAGATGCTAAGCGAGGGATGAACATTGCAATTTTTCTCAAACAGTTCAAGAGGTAAATAAT